TGACAATGACATTGGATGATGTGGGTACCATTTTGGGAATCCCTATGTAATAAGCCGACCCTCGTACATGTTTTCTGATATATTTTCAGTCCCTTTATTCTGTGCCTTTAAATGCTTACTGTGAAAGTTCATGAAAAATTAAGTTTAATTAAGTGAACCTTATAATTATAGATCCATATCTGTTTAATAAGAAAACATATCTGTCACAATTATGAGGTTCAGATCAGAAATTGAACACCTTAGAGGCTTGATAATCTGAAATTTATTTTACATTTGAGATCGTCATAATTTTTATGTACTAATAAGCATGTTTGTAGAAATTTGATTTGGAGAGATTAAATTGATTAAGGTTTGTCTTATATAACTTAACTTTATATTTATATATATATGATTGGGACTTAGGAGCGTTTCAGCTCAAATATCTCCTGGGAGAAGAAAATTAGAGAAGGAAAGAAAGGGTTTGAAAGGAAGAAACTCATCAAGAGGAAAGATAGGGGAATTGAGAGGGGTTGTAGGGTTTAAGGCTCAAGGTATGTGAATTTTGTTTTACTTAAGTCTTTCTTAACTTTGAGTAAGAATTTCCCCTTTCATTTGTAAGATTTGGAGTTGTAATTAAAGTTGTGTGTGTGCCAATTGTTGAATTGAGAAATGCTCTTGTCACTTGGTTGATTGGAGATGTTGTCAAGATAAGCTATGTAATGTTTGTAATGTTTATTTTGGGATTGATATATGTTTGTAATGTTTATGTCTATGATTTTTGAACTATATTTCATCAATTAAAAGATCTATTTTGAGCCTCAAGAACACTCACCAAAAATTGAGTTTTGCTAAAATTTTGAACTGTAATCTGCCCAGATTGCCGCGCGTACGGGGCTCACTGCTGCACGTGCGGGAAGCACTGCCTCACGTGCGGCCTAAGCTGAAAAAAATGTTCTACTCCGTTTCACGTGCTCGACCCTCTGATATTTTTAAAATATTTTTCTGATGATCTTAGGATGGCTGTAAATTCATTCGAATCGTAATGAGTCAGGAAGTAATTTGACAAGGAAAAAGGGAAGTTAATTTGTGAACTTTGTATGTGTGTAGGACACGCTTCAGGGGGGAGTAGCGCTCCGCCACAACACTGTGAGTAGTAGTACAGTAGTCGTACGTTCAATTATCGTTAATGATTTTTATCGTTAATATGTTGTTCCTTGCAAGTAATTAAGTTAACAATGTGTTGATTGGAAAATCTAGAGGCATTATTGAGTGGTATTACTGTTGACAAAGAAGACTAACATTCTGTTATTTGCAAGATAGCTATAGTGATTCATGATGAGCAAAGGGAACGTATAAGCACTATGGAACCATGGTAATCACGTATCTCTGACATCATTCAATCTGTAAATGTGCTTATCTCTCATTAATAATTGTCAGGAATGTCCTGTTAAACTTAAGTTAACTATGTTAACTTATGTGAATGATGTAACGGCTACTATTAGTACTCTGTTAAGTACAAGTCAACTATGGTAACACATATGAACGATCAAACAAAGGTGTATGCTTCTATATGCTAGTAATAAATCAAGTGACCTACGCCATATCTTAATGAATAATTAGTTAAGACCACAGATTGTTTTATACATTAATACCTGCTAAGAATTATGCTAAACAACGGATTGATTTACGGATGACTCAACCTGAAGACAGAATTAAATATCAATGACCTTGTCATGTGACTCACGTTATGATGTAAACTGTTCTGTCTTTGTTAAGTGTACTGTAATGACATGATATAACAAGAAATGCTCTATGTTCTGATATGTTACGTTTTGACTTAATGAACAGTTGTCCATATATGTAAAGTACTCATGACATCCGTAGCACACGACCCTTACCGGGGGGTAATAATACCGTGGTTCAAGGATGTTACAAGTTTACGTATGTTACAAGTTTACATATGTTACAAGTTCAAGTATGCACAAGTTTAGGTATGTTACAAGTTCATGTATGTTATAAGTTCTCAGTATCGGGGGATTCCTTTATGGAACTAACAAGAATGCTTTATATTGATTTGTTAGCGCTAGCGAAGTGCCAAATATAATCAAGTATGAATTCTGATTTCTATTTATGATTCAAGTATAATGCATATGTATGAATTTGTTTCCGTTTATGGTTTGACATGATATGTATGGTTAGGTCTGTAAGACCTATTAATTACTGGTATGGAACAAAGTGCTACATTGTGAGCCACCTCTAGAGTCCATGTGAGACACCTCTCGAATCCATACATATATGAATTAGGCTTAACGCCAATCTGGGTCTATGGCCATTCTATATGATCTATTAGGCCAGAGGCCATTCTGTATTTTTGGTATGGAGCAACGTGCTGTACGGAACTAAGTGTTGCAGCGCGAGTTACCTCTAGAATCCGTATGAGCCACCTCTTGAGTCCATACATATGTGAAAGTTATGAGGCCTATGGCCATTTTGTATGATCTGTAAGATCTGTTAGTATGAAACAAAGTGTTGTACAGAACTAAGTGCTACAATGTGAGTCACCTCTAGAATCCGTGCGAGCCACCTCTTGAGTTCATACACACAAGTTCAAGGGCTCAATGCCAACACGTTCAAGGGCTTAATGCCAATATGTTCAAGGGCCTATTACTACTCTGTTCAAGGGCTTAAAGCCATTATGTTTCAAGATGTTATGTTTTAAGTCATTGTGTTTCAAGATTGGGCCTAAGGCCGTTATGAAATTAGTGCAGAATCAATTAACCTTATGCCCTCTTTATTTACGTATGCATTGATATGTATTATACTTCAAGTTGAGCATTGAATCATTTATGTACTATTATTCACTGAGCTTCACTTACTTTGTATTATGTCTGTTCTGTAGGTAATTACTTTGGAAGTCCGTCTTAACCCTTGATGCTCACCCTTCAATTGTCAACCTTAGTATGCCCAGACTCCCAGACCAAGCCCATGCATTTATGTGAAGCTTTGTTAAGATTTTGGCTGCACTTTAATTATTTACTTAAGGTTAAAATGTATGTATATACCCCATTCTTTACCAATGTTCGGATATACGCTCATTTATGTGTATGGGTATGTATATAGATAAATGACTCTCACGTATGTGATCCTGGCATGTTAGTTTTAGCTCAATGGATGTTATTCTATGTTACTTTGCAATATTAAATGCTTCCGTTCAGGCCCCATATATTATGTATATCAGGTTATGTGTCCGTATCTGCATAGGTCATGCCCGAACTTTTAGGGGCGAGTTTGGGGTGTGACACCCTATCACAGGTAGATCAGTTAGTGCTGCAACTTTGATAGATCAACAGGCACATGCACTTGTGGTAGATGCCTTGGGAGTTGATAATGCTGAAGCAACTAAGGAGCTATCATCTGCTAGGGGACAATCAGTGAAGTTGGAGTGGTTACGGAGCAAATTCAGTGGTTGCAAAGATTCAGACACCGAGGAATCCATATCTTGTGCTGCCAGAGCATATTTGCTATTTCTATTGGGATGTACATTGTTCAACGACAAGAGTGGGACGAGAGTTCCTGTTGTGTACTTGTAGTTGTTGATGGATTTGTCTGATATTCACACATATGCTTGGGGTGCAGCTGCATTGGCATATTTATACCGCCAGTTAGGATTTGCCACGAGATTAGCTGTTCGACAGATGGCTGGCTATATGACATTGTTGGAGGCATGGATTTATGAGAATTTTCAGCCATTTAGACCTCACCAAAACATGGAATATACTGTACAATTGCCTCACGTGCATTGACTCCTCGTCAGGAAGCTGGTTCAATGATATCACACCTACAGGCGTTACAGGAGGAGCTTGACAGATTGGCATTTGATGAGGTATACCAATTAATATTAGTTTATTTAAGTTTTCTCAATACATGTCACTCATCAAGATTTCATTTGTGTTTCTCTCTTAGGTTACTTGGGATCCATATCGAGATTGTCATCAACATCACCTATGTCATGAGATCACATTATATACTGGCTGTTTGAAGTGTTTGGATGCAGTTGAACCCTATCATCCTGAGCGGGTTCTTAGACAGTTTGGTAGGATTCAGACCATCCCACTTGCGCCACTCAACCCTGTTTGTGCTATTACAGGTGTCACAGCAGGCTGATATAGAGTGATGTATCAGTGTCTTGATCAGATATGGGAGAGTTGGGATAATCATGTTTTATCTGCTCCGAGGAGGAGTACCCTAGTCAGACGTCCAGCTGATTGTGTTGATGGTTACATGCAGTAGTATACAAGCATCACACACTTATATATCCAGAACCCCACACATCGGTCTGGTTTTAACCCACGTGCACAAGATAGTCGATCTGATGTGCATGATGCTGAGGTATGACAATATTGCGCACACATCGTTTACATTTTTTTTTTGAAGATGGCACGTGCTAATTACAATTGTATTTGTTCTTAATATAGCGTATTGATCACGCACTACGGATTGTGCATCCTATCATCGAGGCGGGCCATGATGCTAGAGTCCCTGAGCTAGATAGGTTATAAGAGGCCATTGAGAGGATGACATGTGTTCTTCAGAGTCAACAAATCGATGAGGCTGGACCTAGTTCTATTCCATTTCGAACATACAATCGTAGGAGACGAGTAGATGATAGGTAGTTGGTTTTGTGGTAATCTTGTTTTGTTTTTTTGTCATGGAAAAGAAGTACTCTTTTGATGTTTTTGTTGTTTTGTAATGAACAAGAATTACTCTACCAATATTTTATAATGAACAAGTATTCATGGTTTGTATTTTTGGTAATGAACAGGAAGTATTATGCCAATGCGTTTGATACACCGCAATGGACATGTAGTACATATTGCATTAAATTAACTCAAAGCTTAATCCAACTCAACTATTTAAATGCTAATCATTAAAAAAATGTATCAGTAATTATTTGAATTGTATAACTACAACTCAACTCACATACATCATTACTCATCAAGGTTAATACAATCAAATGTCTCTCAAGTAGCTAGCCCTGAATGAACAACTTTAAAATGCTCAATTCGGCGACTATATGCAGTACCCCATCCAGCCGCACAAGAATGATGAAACTTGCACCAATTGGCAGCTATCGGTGGAACTGGATGACCCAGTAACATGAACACCTACATTGACAAAGCTTTAAGTATGAGAGCGATGCAGTACAAAATGATAAATGTATTACACAAATCATAATGCTATACTTGGACAAAATGATTTCCATTAACAAACCCAATAGCAATCTCACGCTGTTGAACTTGTGATATTGGCACTGATCGTAGAGGGGGAATGTAAGGCATTGTTGTGCAGATAAGTGGTACAATATCACATTATAACAAGATGCAATAAGATGACCCATGTCAGGCATAGTCATCCAATAGTGATACCTTGGATTGGGCTCAAAGTATGATAGAATATAGGTCAGCTCTTCAATCCTGTCATGTGAACCATATAGATGAGTGTAATGGTCTATGTGTGTGTGCAATTCCTGTAGGAGATCACGCTTGACTTGACCCCATTCAGCCTCTGTAAGCCCCATCAAGCAAGTAATGGCCCTAAACCCACAATTGCCATCAACATCTACATCCTTAATAGTCATATGTACGGCTTCAATCCAATTGGGAGGGCATCAACATATGAATAAGTCGTGGTTGTACGAGTCCGATATACCTATTCAACAGGGAAGGCATCAACACATGAATAACAAGACACGTAATTTATCATCAACAAAAATGTAAGTAAAAAATGATTACATGTACCTTCTCTTTGGCAGGCCGTTTTTTTATGTACTTTGACAGAATCCTGTGTGGGGATCTGGGTGTCCATAGGTGAGTGGCTTTCATGTCCAGACTGAACCAACTCAAATGCACATGGGTCTTGACACGTAGATACATCTATCTTCTTATGTCCCTTACCTCGAGGGTTGGGCTTCACATCCGGCTCAATGAGAAAAGTACTTTGCGGATTTGCAATCTCTCCTAACTTATGCAGAATTTCCAACTACATAGTGTAATAAGATGCATTGAATCGCTTAAGTATGAGATCAAACTTTGGTTCACAACTCAATTCCACTTTATCATTCTTCAACTTTTGTACTAACTCAAGAGTCCTCTAGTGCCGGTTAATGTTATCAAGTGGTATTGGACGACCCTGTCAGATGTAATCCACAATCTCATGGGCACAAGGTAACCCGTGTGTTCGTTGAACAACACATCCACATACTGAAGCATCAATGCCAACATCATTCGCTCGCTTACTCTCCGCTAAGACATGTTCTAATGCAGTAATAGAGATATTGCCTCAGAGCTCTCTAAAATGGGATAGTTTGTGTCACACCCAAAATCTGGGTATGACCAGCTGTGGCCCACAGGGACTCAGCCCAAGGCACACGTAAGCCTAACCACTAATCCAGAATCACATTGAGCAACTATACAAATGTCCAGTAATAAATAGCCAAACTCAATCCAGTGACATGCCACAAGTATAAACGGCAAAACTAACCGTAATCAATACCATCCAAACTTATGGGATATAAACAGCCCACATATCAAAATAATCCTAAATGAACCTCAATAAAAATAAAAAGAAGTATGCACAAACTTGACATAACAATCTAAAACAAAATAAATGTATGTCCTAGAGGTCCATGCAATCGAGTCTCAGCTACGCCATGAGTCTACCCTAAGTCCTTCTAACACCTTGAAGTGATAAAAACTAAGTCAGCTGATAGCTCAGTGAGTAGCAACATGGATAGTAAATACAGTTTTGAAAACATGGCTCAATTCCAAAATAAGATATATATCACAGAAACTAGATTGGCATACAGTTTGGTAAATATAATCTGTTTCAAAAAGAAGGTTCCACAGTTCAACACTTAAAATACTCATGTCTCGCAAGAACATGATAAATGACATTTTCCACTTAAAACAGATTATAACATGAACACCAATAATTTTCTGGGTACCAATAAAAACAAATAATATGCCACACAGTTCTCAAGGCTATAAGCCCCGTTGGATCCAATACCGTACTAAGAGTTATCCTCAGGGTGGCACCTGGGCCTTTTCTCAAAGACGATCCGATTGAAGGTCACCTAGCTTTTTTTTAAGGTCTTTTCCTTACAATTGTTGAGCACTAGAGTCATCACGGCCCAACCCGGATCTGTTCCCTAGTGGCCAGAGTCACCACACACCGTGGAATAATTTTCCTAGACTAAATACACATATGGTCCCAATAATCAATACACATCAATTTCGCAAAACATGGTAGTTCGTCATTATAAATATGAGACCAAAGCAAATAGTTTACAGTATGCCAAGTTCACACATGTTTCAGAAATAATTTGATTTAATTGATAATATAACAATTTATCAAAACAGTTTAGTCATAAAATAACAATTTAATTTTCCAACAGTTCAGGGTAGGGGAACATTTATAAAAATATGTAGCATGAAACTACTCACCTGAAACCAAAATAATATAATCCTCGAATAGAGTATAAAAGTCCAACTAGTGCCCTGAACCAAGTATGAAAACTACACGTCACTACTAATTTAAAAATACTAAAGAATAAGAACTAAGTAACCCCAAACTAAAGCTCACTAACACGGCTCAACCCAACTCACCGTTACTCTTAAATATTACCTAAGTTCATGTTCTTCAAGGTCTAAAATCACCCAAGACATGGGTTCCGATCGAAACTTAACTAAAAATAACTTTAAGATAAAACAGAGTTTTAAACAAGTTTTCCCAATCTATTCGCTAACTTTGAAAATTACAAAACCCACTCCACGCTATTCAAAAAATTCCAAAAACCTCAAGTTATCAACTAATATATCCTAAGTTTCAAACCCAATTGGTTTCACTTGATTTGCTTATCAAAATAATTATCTACAATTTGTTATATTCAAACAGGTTATTTTCTGCAGCACTTTAAAGAAATTGGTAGTTCTCTTAATATACACGAGCAATCAATGCAAGGCCAAAAATGTAAGAAACTAGACTTGTAACCGGTTCTAATGACGCTGATTTGATAATTTTTGGATTTATACCCAAAGAGAACAACACTCCCGAATTTACTGTTTAAAACCAGTTTTCTGGACAGATTTGAACGCATTAGTTTATATGGATTTTGACTCCCAAAAATTATGAAAAAAATCAGATATTCCATTCAATATGTAATTAATATACTGTAAAAATTTCAATTCAAAATTCAGTCGTTTGATAAGGTTTCTTGATTTTTAAAGTTTGCTGATAGATTAATATTCTTAGGAGCAACATTATGAATTCAATTAAAATTTCTAGAATACTATCCCCATCAGGCAATCCATTCCTTTTTCTTCCACCAACTCACAACACCCACAAGCACCATAACTATGTAAACAACATATTATAATAGAACAAGAATAGATTGATTAATACCTTAGACAGTTGTTGAGACACAAGGGTGCTGGAAATCTCTCTCCCTCTCACTTTTCTCTCTCTCTCTCTCTCTCTTTCCCGTGGCTGCTACTACATGTTGAAAGTGTTGTGCAAAACAATTATAAAAAGGGTTAGGGTTTTTGTTAGGAAAACTAGGGTTGCTTTCTATATATATCCAAACAAAACTCTAAATAATTATCCTTTGTTTTATATATATCTAACCAAAAGGCTCTAATTTATTATCTCTTTATATTATTTTAATTTCTATCTCCATTAAAATACAAATATTATTAGATCAAAATATGCTTACCAATTTGGCACTTAAATTTATTTATTTATTTATTTAAATAGTAAATCTTGCTTCTAAATTAAAGACTTTCACCATAAATTTATTTTAGGTTTAAAAATTAATTAAAAGACCTTCCAAATATTTAATTTGCACTTAGGGTTCACCATCAAAATATTTGAGATTGTAATATTATTATTATTTAATTATTTACTTGATTTGTATATTCAGGTTCTCATAGTTTGAGCTGGTGTTGTACAACGGTTAAACTTTTCTTAAACGATGCCTTAATAACAACATGCTGCAACTCAAGCAAATTATGGATCTTGGTCCAAGAACACTCAAAATTGACTTGGTTAGAATCAAGTTGCCGTTTAAGTTTTGCATGTGCACTTTCAGCTCTGTGTACAATGGAAACAATTAACATAATTAAGTTTCAATAATCAAACTCATAATGACTAATAGTGTAAGGTAGACAAATATATATTATCTGTTTGTTGTAACATTCAAGAAGTGCATACAACTATTTGTCCATACGGCAACAAACTTATCCTTATATGGAATTAACCAACTTTGTGACACATATTGCACTACCTAAAGATATGTATCAAAATCCTCAAGTAGCCTAGCAAGGTGTTTATTGTATTCAAGCATAGTTGAGGAGAGTACTAAGAAATTCCATAAAGAGATAAACTTGTCCCATTCCTTCATACTCTTAAACATTTTCTTGCATTTTGCCAGTACACTTCTACTAATATGCCATCGGCACAATAAATGTCGAGATGTAGAAAATACCCTGTCAATAGCATTCATCAAAGCAAGTTCCCTATCCGTGACAATCACCTCAGGAATAGCAATGTCATCCAAGAGACTACGCAATGTAGTTAACACCCAAACGTAGTTATCAATACGCTCAAATTAGAGATATGCAAAGGCTATGGAGAATGACATATCAGTGGATGTCACACCAACTATCTCAAGAAGAGGAAGACGATATCGATTTGTCTTATATGTGTAGTCCATGACCAACACCTTTGGAAATGAACAGAACAAATCTAAACTGACAGGATGTGCCCAAAACAAGTCTGTGACAGTTATCGTGTTGTTGTCACACCTATGCCGCTTAATGTAATTATGCTTTTCTAATTCACCCAACAACTGTTGCATTTGTGATCTCCCAGCTTTCTCAATAACATTATTCCTATGATGTGCATTGTAAATGGTTTTCATAGTGGTTACATTCAAAGCATCATTTTGTTTCAAGGTAACCAAAATCTCTTTTGGTCTGACCATACTTTTGGACATATCCACTAATAATGAAGTTTCCTCCTCATATAATCTTCCTGCAAATAAATGTCCTTTAAATGTTTAGCAGGAGCATGGTTATGCATTCCACATGCTACATCTACCATCCAATCATCATCAGCCATTAACTTACGAGCTCTCAACTCAAAGAGACACCCGCATTTCTTTGTACCCGTTACCTTCACAGTTTTTTTGTTTGAATCATCTCCTTTTAATTTCTTATGAGCTCTGTATTGAGCACTCTCTCACAGGCACGATATATCCTTGGTGTCCTATGACCACCACCATAGTCCGATGTCTTGATGACAATCACAAAACCATTTTTCCTTCCAACGTCCCGTACCCAACTGAGCAATTCTTCTTTGCTCTTGAAAACCTACATGTCAAATTCACCAAAGTCATTAAACATGCGAAAAGAAAAAGAAAAAATACTAATTTTTGACATGAGACTACCTCATTAGTAATGAATTGACTTGTGTAGTCAACAAGACCACTAGATCCAACATTACTGCATTCCATGGATGCACATGTTTAGAAAAAGCCCCCCCAAAAAAAATGTTATAAGTGTTCGGCAGTACAGAGTCGAATTAAATGGAATTGTTTGATACTTAAAAACAGAAGAATTGGATTATGTTCGACACTATGAAACCGAACACATACAATTTGTTCGGTTTTAGGTATTCGAACATTGATATATTATTCGACTCTAGATAACCGAACTAATACAAACGTTTACCACTCAGCAAGTAAATGAAAACGGAAAAAAAAAATAAATAAATAATCTTTTCCTTGCTCCATTGTTCCGAATCAGTATTGCCAGATGAATTCTTCATTGAATCCAATCAAAATGTTTAATAATACATATATTTTTGGTTGTTTCTTTAAGGGTTTTTGGTTTTTGTTTCAGGGTTTTGGATCCTTGAGAGACAAGATACATAAGTAACACCTTTGAGATTGTTGATGAGTATTATATTTGTTATTGTCCTTTATTGTAATTATACAAATGGTGTGTATCATAGCTTGTCCTTTGTAGTCATTTTACCTAAGGTTAAAATTGTAATAAAAAATAAACTAATTAATGGTTTGCCTTGAGAGGAAAAGTGGTGTGTAAATAGAGCCTCCCAAGAGAAAAGGGTAAATTACATTGACACCCCCTAACATTTGGCTTGATTATATACCAACTATTGATGTTCTGGAAATTACATCTCTACCATTGTGGTTAATAGTCTCATTCACAAATTCCCTATCGTGACGTGGACATTAGACCTGACATAAGTAAAAAGAAAGTGCAAGGCCTCATTTGGGAACAGACTTTTTTAGTAACTTTTTGACTTTTTGGCTAAAATGTGATATAAAAAAAACTAGTATGTTTGGGATGACTTTTTGACTTTTTACGAAAAGATGTGCAAAAAGTAGAGAGAAAATGGAATCTTTGACTTTTTTGTATAAGTTGTTAGCTTTTTGATTTTTTTAATACCTTTTTGGCTTTTTACCTAAAAAAAGCCACTTGCCAAACGAGCCCTAAGTGGCTGATTTGTCCTTTGGAGCCTTAAAAAATCTTTTGTAGCCTTATACCCTATTTAAAATTAGCAATATACTAAAAAAAAAAAGGTCCAATCACAACAGACACCACCATTTCACTTGCATTTGCAATTGCAATTCATTTATTCGCCAAATATGGCTTGTGGTAGGTAAAAAGCACAAAAGGGTATTATTCACCATGTTTGGTTTTAGAAATTTGAGTTCACTTTTTAAAAAATTGAGTTCTTTTTGTATTTTTTTTATTTTTGTGAACTTTTATAATATTTTATGTAAATTTTTTTTATTTTTTAGATACACCTAATCTAAATGCGTTTAAAAAGTATAATCTTTGCGGAAAAAAAAAATTCAAAAAATTCACCAAATACAAAATAATAATAATAATAATAATAACAATCAATATATTTTCGTATTTTGTTGTATACAATGAATTTTTTTTTTAAAAAAAATCGTACAACTTTTTAACTTTTTAAGTAGATTAAGATTAAGCGGATCTAAAAATTAAAAAATTGATTAAAATATTTTAAAATATCATTAAAAATGTAAAAATATTTAATAACCTAGAAAATTATCTTTGAAAGCCCAAAACCAAACAGGGTGATTGTCATTTCTTTGAAATAACATAGACAAAATATCTACATTTTTTTAATTAGTTTCTACATATAAAGGTTTAGGGGCAAAAATGTTATTTTATCCCAATATTAACTCCGTCAAAATAATTACACTGACAAAAGGGGGTCAATGGAATGTCCTAAATGTGAGGAAAAATCTGTATTAAATTCAAACCTCAGGGGGTGTTAATGTAATTTACCCAAGAGACAATTGAATTTTACATTAAAAAATTACAATAGAAAAAGTAATATGTATTGTTTGAAACAATATTTAAATTTTAAAAAAAGAAAAAAATTATTAAGATTTTGCCTTACTCCTTGTCAAAGAATAACCCAACCATGCTTTATTACCCCAATACGTTAACACATTTTTTTTTATCAACAAAAATTAGTTATTAGATTACAACTCATGAGAGTTAAACCTCTCCCTCAATACATCAACACTTAACTAACAACAATAACAGTATACAAAAAAGTGAAAATACTAAGGGCAAGTTTGGGAAGTTTGCATAATAGCCAAAAAATCACTAAAAATGTAAAAAACTCATATAATTTTTTGATAGGGTCACTAATGGGTAATTTCCCAAAAAATTATGTATAATTTTATGGTCTTTCATCTCAATCTTTGTAACGCCCCAAAATCATAACTAACCACCTCTTGACATACAATGGAAAAAAATGAAAACTTACAAAATATTAACCCTTCATTGATTCTCGTTAACAGTACAAAAGATGTCATATAGATGTATACATTCATAAATCCTAGATCATGAATCTATAGCATATGACATGTATGAATAACTTGAAACAGAAGGAAACACAGATAAGTTTATGCCCTAATGGTTATACATTTCCAAGACGATATTTGGTTACAACAAAAGTGGGTCAAGCTCAAAACAAGTAAAAAGTTCGAGACTTGTACAAAAAGATATTTACAATAAAGATAAACAAAATGAGCATTCAACTCCACGATCCTCCCAAGCTAAGTCCTTGATGGAGGCATACCATCAGCACCTGAAAATTGGTTTTCATATAGGGTGAGTTAAAGCCCAGTAGAGAATACTTGAACACACTGTACAATGCTTAACAAAGTCGTATGGTGAATGCATACACATGCCATTTACCAAAACATTACACTTTTTCTTTCAAAACAATGCAATGCCATGATTATAAATCAATTTGTAAAATAATACTTTTTAAATCAGAAAACAGGGCAGTGGATGCACAACATTGGGAATCTCTAGGTACGTGTTTGCCGGTAGGTTACACAAGCACTATCAAAGTCATTTTACAGGTATTAACGGGAAGGATCGGCACCTAGCTGTTGGACTTTCACCAAGGACACACAGGCTAACATAAAATAACCACAACCACACTCCTTAACCAGATTCACCAAGGTATTCACCCTTTTTTCTCAAAACATTACTTTTTCAATGTATAGATATGAAACAATGTTCAATATAAGATGTATGAGTAGTTAGTTTCAATTAACCTAATCATCATGCAATTTTTACAACAATTAAAGCTATCCTCCACCGATAGCCCAAAATAGATATCTCCATACAAAAGATAAATCTCCACAATAAATCATAATTTCATAATCTCAATATAGGAGTGATAATATATATCCAACTCCACTCTCATCTTCAACAGATACATTCATTTTATCTTTTTAAAAACTCAACATCTTTCCCTTTATTCTTAGGTTAAAACCAATTATTTCCAACAAAATATCTTTTACTTTCAAAACACATTTAAAAGAGAAATTTCTCATATTTCAACACCACTCAATAACATACTAAATTCCACAACATTTTCCCATAAACCCATTTGAAAACCCCTCTTTCACATTTCTAAAACCAAACCCTAAATCAAATCCACTACTCCCAAATCACTACACTTTTCAAGGAGCACATAACGAGGTTAAAAATCATACAAAGAGGTTGAAGAAATTCCTACCTCAAGAGTAAAAGAAGAGGAGAACATGACGTAACTTTTGATGACGTCAAAAATGGAAACCTATCCGATTAAAATGTCGACCTTAACGAGCTCTACACTTTTCTCTAAAGCACTATGGTGGCGAGATCAATGGATTTGGGTGTATTTGGGGTGCTTAGACAAGAATTAGAGAGAAAGAGTGAAGAAATTTGATAAAGTTAACTTTTAGAGAGAGAGATCAAAAAGTGATTGAAAAGATCTTTTCCCTGTACTAATATACGCACAGACCGCTCGAGTGACCAAAACACTGCTCAAGCATAAGACACAAGGAACCGCTCGAGCGCAAAATGACACCCTCCGAGCAGTTCAAACCTGCAAGAGACCGCTCGAGCAACCAACCCATGGCTCGAGCGAAAACACACTCCTCCCAGAAGTTCAGACTATAAGCACAGATACTGGAAGGAACCAAAGACCGCTTGAGCGAAGGAAAGACTGCTCGAGCGAACCTAAACAGGAATAGATATGAACTCTTTTGAAAAAAAATAACTCCCAACGTGTTCAAAACACAACTGACAACTCTAAACAACCAATCCCACACTACAACAAGATAACAAAGAGTATAAACAACAACCATGATTACTAGATCTTAGTCCAAAGAATACAAAAGGGTCGGGCATTAACACAAGTTGCTATAATCTTAGGGTATAAAAATGTTATAATCACGTCATTTTATACGAGTTTTATGTATAAAGGTTTTGTTGATAAATCATTTTATTTTGAAAAAAGTGGCAATATGAAAAAGAATTTGTAAAAACGTAAAGGTTATCTTCATTGATTTACAATTCCCAATCTTTATTTGCTCCCACAACAACAATGATATAACCTGGGCATGTGGAGCATATGACAATGGTGTACTTTTAAGTTCATAGACAAAGTGTTTGTAGATATACTTGAATGAATATTGGTCTATTCAATATTGATACCGATTGAGCTCTTGTTTGGTTATTCAAATTTGTCTCAAAATTTATCATTTTTTTGAATCAAATTATTTTGTTTCTAAATTATTAGAAACATTTTCAAAATTTTGTCGCTAAATTTTGTTTCCCGACATTTTGGGATGATGACAAGAATTGGTCTCTAAATATTTTTTGTAACAAAATTATCACTTTTTTTATACAAAAGTTTGGTTCCTAAAACTCTTATATGTTATAGTAAATTTGATTTTCAAGTATATCTATAGCGATTCCGGTTCTGACCCGTCTCTTGTTGTGTTCCGGACTCGGGTTGTATGGGTTTGAAAGGTTATTCATATCTTATTTGCCTTGTCTCCCCTCTATTTTTGGTTATTGAGTTGTAATTGTGTGTTTGGAACAGATTGGTTGCTTGTTTTTCAAAACCTGTGTTGCCCAGATTATGGCTTCTTCGCTCAAG